AAGTCATTTGGCTACTATCAACTTAATATTCTGCAGCGTAAGTGAGGTGATCACTTAGTTTTCAAAGTTCTATTACAGTACTCAAAATTATGCTTTGTATTACTGAATGACAATTAAAATAGGCTTTGGAAGAAACAGAGCATGTGTAGTTAGCAAATATTCCACCTTAAATGTTTTAAGATTGATGAGCGAGCAATGCTGAAGTTGGGCGCAATGCGTCACAGAGGGACAAGGTTGTGAATATTTTCCGATTGAAGTGCTTCGGATATGTGGTGCATTTGTTTATACTATGGCGGGCGATGTTGAGTACAGAACTGTGAGGAGGCTATGATAAAATCCAGATAAGTCGTTGGATTTTTGTCCTAAGTGGTTGCTTGACTATCAGACTTTCAGGTTGTTTGGTGGGAGATAATCGTAATCACACGAATGGTGACCTTAGTTAATACTGTCTAAGACGAGTTTTATTAGCGTAATCGCATTCATTCCTTATTTTACATTTCGAAGAACTTTTTTCATATTTTAGTTTTATAGTTTCATGCATCTCCTTGAACATTGTTCTTATATTTTGTTTTCAAACAAATATAATTTTATTTCTACTAAATTTTCCTGATTGTAATAATATGAAGTTTGGCAACTTGAATTAACGTGCAATTCAACTGGTCCTACGTTACTAACCGTTGAATAATTAAATGTTTCCTATTTGAATTTTACACAACCATTTAGATAATATCCTGTTTTATAATAGAGGCTTGCTCGTCATTATGTACCTTACAATGGTGAATCATTTTTGGAATTAATTTTATATTATGAAAGTTTGTTAATTACTTGATGTTTTTATCAGTTAGATTTGTCTATATGTTTACCGAATTCCACATCAGAAAAAAAGTGCCGTTGAATTTTGAAAACGAACTTATCTTTCGGTCATTTTTAATGATCATGATGGCACTAATTAAAGTTTCTTGGTGAAAATTGTTATATATATACAAGTAGAGAAAGGGGGTTGATTCGGTTACATCTGAATATTCGTATTTGTATAGTAGAGTTTCTTTGGAACTGTATGCCACATTTGGGCTTTTCTATTTTGATTGAATGAATTAAAATCTACAAGGAGCTTTAGTCCAACACTAGTACACCTTTATATCAAAGAAATACTTAACTTTTTATTTAAAAATATTTGCCTGATGTTAATTTAAGGTGAACTAGATATTATATACATTTTAATGAAAATTTGTGCCACCAAATGAATCCGATTGACTAATGTGATGGCTATTCATTACATAGAAACGCTAGTCACACTGTGTTGTTCAATGCAAAGAATAACCCATCAATAGTCATGTTTCAGAATCAGACTTACTATTAAACCCGGTCTTCGTGTCAATTGAAGTAAATTTTGAGTAATCAGTGCAAGGTAATAACTAATCAAGTATAATATGTCGTTATAATAAGAACAACCTTACGTTAGCCATCTCATTTAATCGTGTAAATAATTTTTGAACTAACATTATAAGAGTTTATCGTGAAGTGAAATTTGTAACTAGAATTTTATCACAGAGATTTACATATCTCGATAAAAATCAGTAACACTTCTTAAAAAGCTCTAACGGAAACCATCTAAACGACAAATTTTAATCCCAACCTAAAGTCATATCAACAATCATCAATACTCACTGGATTGCTTTTGAAGCTAGAACGGTATTCTGAAAAACTAGCAACTTGTATAATAATCAACGTAAAGACTTTCTGTATAATATTTTAATGATTCTCATTTATTCTAATGTAAATAATTTGCTAAAAAGGCTGATAATATATAAATAAAGATATGTAGATATTATAGATTTTGAGAGTTGTAATTCTAACTTCTAAAACAGATCAATAGTCAATGTGATGTAATTTCATATTTTCAGTGATTATTTGGCTTGTACTACCTGATCATTGTAAAATATACTGTAGCTATATAGAAAACTCTCAGATAACAGCAAATGAGTTTTAGTGTCTTTTTATCTGCCATATGCAATGAAAACCAAATAATTGATTCATATACATACAATACTCATCTATTTACAATGTTACTTAGACCATAGTCTAATTGAAGGACACTTGCAAATATCAGCATGTATATGGGTCTATCATAAGCTGATTCAGTTGAAATACTATATGTTTTCAATTTGTGTCTTTTATAATTGCACATGCCTACTCACATTTATATTGGCAAACACTAATAAACAATTTGTTTTACTATATATATATTATTGAAATTAAGACAACATAACAACATTAATTAAAATCTGAGAATGAAAACCATAAATCCTAAATGTTCCTGCTAGTACTTAGTTGTGCTAACGTAAGCTATCTAAAAACAATCACATATATCCTCGAAATATCTTTGAAATGTCTTTCTTTGCTATGGCAAAGTTTTGTTTCTATGTATTTTAAATTCGTCATATTTAGTCAAATCTTTTGTGTGCCTGTCGAAAAAAATTTATATTTATGTTTCAAAGTTAACTAACAGAACAAAATAAAATTCCAAGAATTTCTCATTAGAACTATATATTTGACTCTATGTATTGGTTGTGATATCTAAGTATAGATTAGAATATATATTCGGGTATATTGACACACTTAAGCCATATGCTTAAATTAGTAGTTTATTTCCAAAACACGAATATGTCACAAGAATCTTGGTAACTGAATATGAGCACACTTAATACAGTTTCATTTAAATCTGACCGATATTTTCATTATGATTACATGAACAGTGAAATAATGTTAATTAAATTATATGTATTTCAGACGCATAAAGAGTTCTACAGCAAGGACATTTTTAAAAAAATTCTGGCTAACTACCATGGATTTTTCCAGGGAAACCTTTTTATAAAGATACCTAGAACGATCTATTCACAAAAATAGCTTTTACACGTTTATTTATTTCTTTTTGTAAAACTAAACATTTTGAAATATCTTCATAACGTCGGATTATATGTATAAACCGTTGATCAGTATGACTTTCACTTTACGGGTGTCACTGTTCATACAAATGCCTTTCTTAGTTAATTGAAACTTCATATCGTCTGGGAACACAAATGTGATGTTTACAACTTTTATAAAAATCCTATAAGTATTATGAGTATGTTATGTAAAGCTAAATTCATTTTGAAATGAGGAATTGTTATTCCATCCGGTTGCATCTGTGAAATTTATAAAGTGTTATCAATTATCTATATCCTGTTCACTAGTGAGATTGAACTGGATTGATACTGATACGCTTTTGTAGATCTTGGTACAGTCGAACATCTGGATCATATTGTTCTGATTATATAACATTTCTGATTGACTTGACTTGATTTTATTGTCATCTAGCGGTAACCATTTACCAGTAAGTTTGTTATCCACAGTACAATAACTAAACTATACTGAACTGGACATGATCTTTATTTGGGATTCGTCAGCCGAATTTGCCTGCTTGCTAGAGTTCATGTTCACTCCGAGACTCGAACCTACTATAGTCCACTTCACACGTCATCTGTTTATCCAAATAACTACTGAGTCCAGATAGTCACTGGTTTATTTAATGAGATGAAGTCCTCAAAACCAATGTGAAGTTACAAATAGCCAATACAAATGAATTGAACTTCACACCAATGTACATTGCAATGGGTATCTGGGTTAGTTATGTGAAGATCGCGACGACTTTTAAAGCGAACGATAATGGGTTCAAGTCCCGGAGTGAACATGAACTCGGATGTAGGTCTATCCAGTTAACCAGTTCCAAACAGGACGAAACGCCCATACTGGATCCCACTGTTAGTCACTGTCGATCTCTACTTACAATGCTTGTGACTTTAGACAATATTGAATCAATCCGCACAGGATGTATATTTGCCGAAGCAGACTGAACAACAGCAGTCAATGAGAAGATTCAAAGAATCAATACAAACGAATTATACTACTTTCTACATCTGATATCGTCATTTAATAAAAAAATCCGAATACACGAACTTCATAGGTAGTCCATTTTCAATATACAAATAACTACATATTTGTTAACATACCCATTATATCTGTAAAATATGGTGTTGTCATGAGCATTCCTCAAAAGTGAGTACCGAGGTTTTCGTGACTAATATCTTGTTATAATACTGATAAAGTTTCTCCTAAAGTCCACACAGTTCGGACTAAACTGTATTATTTTTATTAAATCATTTAAAATCAAATTTATTCAATAGGAGTTCAGATTATTTCTCAATTCAGAAATTCATACTTCAATGACAGAAATTATTTGCCTATTACATATAAAATGCTCCATGTAAACTAATATTGAGATTAGAAGCAAAGATGGATAATGGCTAGCAGTGGAATTCAGGACGAGCGTTTCATCCTATTTGGGACTCGTCAGCTGGATGTACCTGCATCTCACAGTTGGTGCTCATTCTGGGACTCGAACCCGGTACCGTTCGCTTCAAACGCGATCAACTTATCCACTTAGTTACTGAGTGCTGATAGCCACTTGCCTGTGCAATAGGGCGAAGTTTAAATTCACTTGGTAATGTTTACTTGAATCTTTCCATTAGTATTTAGGACTGCAATTGATCAATCTCTTATTAACATATGTACATACTGCGCGTATTGCCTTGATATTGCCTTAATTCACAAGTATTATAAGCAAAGATGAATAGTGAACAAAACGCAAATCCTGGATTCCACTTCTAGCTAATAAGAAGATCCAAGTAATTAATACCAAGTGAATTTCATATTAAGATTGCTATTAAAGAATTAAATCAATTTCCAACAACTCATTTCATAAAACTTGTTTAAAATTTAATGTAAACAGAGTATAATTATTTATTCTGTTATAATTATGATGATATAATAATTAATGAAAAGATGTAATTGTATTGTTTATATTTATTAAGTAAATTCTTTTCTTCATAATGAATTATTTGTTTACTCATCTGTTTATGTGGTCAATTAAATCTTAAATTTTTATCTATTTTATCTTGTAGAATTGGCTGAAACTTGATAAACGTATAGCTAAACAATTAGAAAGTGAGTGGTTAAACAAATAATAATGGTAATAATGATGCTTTTGCTTTCATTTAGCTTTTAAATATACATATAATGGAAAAATATAGATAAACTGAATACAGTATTTTACTATCTTTTAGGCTAAATGATTATCTATTTAGTTTAAAAGGATAGAAATGTCTGGTTTTATTATTTTAAGACATAATGAAATCAAAGGTATGATGATAGTTTATTACATCAAGTCTATCAACATATTTCTGTTATAAGGAAAGTTAACTTTATAAAGACAATAATTAGTTCCTATTATTTACATTTAAATAATTAAGATTAATTTAAATTAAATTAAACAAATGCTTTACATTTGCAAATTAAAATAGATGATACAAGGATCATTTTGAGTTTCTTAAATACTCTTTGACTTTTTACAAATATAGTCAAATGGAGTTTTAATATCAGAAGGGGACCACTGTGGGAAATCTGGAATCACTGAACGGTCGTTTCGTTCTAGTATGAGACTCCTTAGCAGTGCGAATATAAATGGCTGATCTTTTAGTGAATGGATATCAACTGATAGGAAACAGTTTTCGAATTTAATAAAATTCCGTAAACCATTTAAATTACCAAGGTTTGATTTGATAATTTCGAATAAATTGAGCATTGGGTTGATTGTTATAAATAAAAATAATATATTTGTAATATCCCAATGAGTAGAAAATTGGATTTTCTGACGTTTCGTGGCTTAGTGTAAGTCACTTCTTCAGAGAATAAATAACCAAATTAAAATTAATCCAAGTTTAAATAGTACAACGGAACAATGCAAGAATAATATTTGATCAAATATTATTCTTGCATTGTTCCGTTGTACTATTTAAACTTGGATTAATTTTAATTTGGTTATTTATTCTCTGAAGAAGTGACTTACACTAAGCCACGAAACGTCAGAAAATCCAATTTTCTACTCATTGGGATATTACAAATATATTATTTTTATTTACATTTAAATTACGATCATGTACTAATTATTGATCAATTGAAAGATAAACGTTTTACTAGAAATTTGTTATCTATGGTGTCAGTAAAGTTAGGAGTAAGGTAAAAAAATTAGTTTCTATTATTTAACGAGGACTGTTCTAGATTCAGGTTTGGGTAAAATTGACCAATTTAGACCAGTGCATTTTGATTAAGTCATTTACATTGTACATTGTATCGTGATGCTTGTGAGACTCAAGGGTCTGGATGTCTATCTCGTGTTGAATCATAGTTGATAAGTGATGAAACACACCAGAATGTAACTAAACATCTGCTTAATGCTGGTATATTTCAAAGGTTCCTCAGTCTATTTCAATTGATAATGAAAACTATATAATGATATCAGCAAAGGGTGATTTCCGTGCTATACTGAAGAGGTGAACAGTCAGGAGACGTTAAGATTCATCTGTCAATTGATTGTGTTCATAATTATCTGTGGTGATCAGCAATGAAAATATTCTAGATCAATACTCGAAAACAATAACTAATCATAAACATATCATTCGAGTAGTAAGTCGTTTTCTATGCATAAGTCTATAACAAGATAAATTTAAAATGAATATTGACGCGATAATTATATGTCACATTGTTGTAACTGAATATATTATCACCGCGTCAAACTAGAGGACAGCAAATAAGCGGCATAATATGAACATGAACTCCATGATAGAAAAAGCAGTATTCATGGGTCAAATTAGTCAAATTGGTCCTACGTTGTAGCTGACAGACTGATTTAGAATAGTAAATATTTTATGCACTACATTTATGAAATTCTATTAGTTCTAAGAGTTAGACTGTGTTTTATATACTAAATGTTACAGTCCAGTTAACTCACTGGTAGCGCTAATAACTATACGGCTATATGAAACATTATGCCATTCGCTTAGTTTGTAGATACAGCCATCAAACTAAATTCACAGCAACCTGATTATTGTGTTTTGCCATAAAATATCAATAAAGTTTGTCTAATAACTCAAACTAACGTTCACTTTCGCATGTTAACTAAATTTCTGTGTCAAGTTAATTGAATAATACTTTTTTCGTTCGCTACATATTTGCATTGATCAATCTTACTTGTTTTCTCAGTCATTATTAATAAAGAAATACAAAACGAATAAATATTTTGATTTCTTTGTTTAAATAGCTTGTAATTTAAAATATTGTGTGATTTCAATTACCGTTTCTAACTCACAATGAACAAATTCATAGTTTTATAATCTAAAACTACTTTCACAATAGTGATGATCAATCGTTACGATTATGTTATGTATAAAGATTATCATTTGTTGATAAAATGAGATAACTTAGACTTTAAAGTTGAACCATTATAGTTAGGGAAGAATTGACATAGTATTCACTTTGTTTCTAGAATTAGTGTTAAATAAAATTCAAGCTTCAGTTTTATTATCACATATCATGGTTTTTGAGACTATCATTTATATTTAGTAAGTTTTTATTAAAATAAGAACAGAAAAATTTGATAAGCACATAGCGTTTTTGCATATTCTTATCATGATTCTCTTCATTGGATAGAGTTCCTAAATCTACACCTGATCCCATTCTTTTATTCGTGTATAAGGTCTACAAAATTCGTAGAAGCTCTCCCGGAAGAGTTTGATAATTACATAATTATAATGAATTAGGATGAAGTAAACCCATTTACTTACGCCTGTTACTCCCAATGAAACATAGGCCACCGACCAGCATTCTCCAACCCACTACGTCCTAGGCGTTCTCTTCTAGTTCCATCCAACTATTGTTCATTTTCCTCATGTTTATCTCCATTTCCCGGCGTAATGTGTTCTTTGGTCTTCCTCTCCTCCTTTGGCCTTCAAAATTCCATGTGAGGGCTTGTCTTGTGACACAGTTCGGTGCTTTCCTCAATGTGTGTCCTATCCACTTCCAGTGCATCTTCCTGATTTCTTCCTCTGCTGAGATCTGGTTTGTTCTCTCCCACAGTCGGTTGTTACTAATAATGTCTGGCCAACGGATGCGAAGTATTTTACGTAGGGAACAGTTAACAAACACTTGTATCTTGTGGATGATGGTTGTGGTAGTTCTCGAGGTTTCCGTTCGATACAGTAGAACTGTTTTGACACGTATTGGAAATCCTGACAGTTGTTTTGAGTTCCATATGTTCTTCAGTTGTAGATATGCTGTTCTTGGTTTTCCGATCAGCACCTTCACATCTGTATGAGATCCACGGTGTTCATCAATGATTCTGCCTAAATATGTAAAGGTTTTTATACCTTTCAAATCTTCTCCGTCAATTGTGATCCGATTGTTGCATGCTATGTTGTACCAGAGAATCTTTGTTTTCCCTTTGTGTATGTTGAGACCTACTGCTGCTGAGGCTGCCGCTACACTGTTCGTCTTCTGCATTTTTTGTTGAATGTGCGATAGAAGAGCCAGATCGTCTGAGAAATCTAGATCGTCCAGATGCATCCTAGCTGTCCACTGGGTCCCGTGCTTCTCCCCAGATGTTGACCTTTACATGATTCAGTCGATCACCAGGAGAAAGAGAAAGGGTGAGAGTAAGCAACCTTGTTTGACACCGGTCTTTACTTCGAACGAGTCTATCAGCTGTCCTCCATGCACGATTTTGCAGTTTAATCCATCATAGGAATTCGTATGATATTGACTGTTGAAGAAGCTTCCATAGTGTTGTCCTGTCCACGCTATCAAATGCTTTTTCGTAGCCAATAAAGTTGATGTAGAGTGATGAATTCCATTCAATTGATTGTTCCACAATGATCCGTAGAGTTGCGATTCGGTCTGTACACGATCTGTCCTTACGGAATCCTGCCTGTTGATCTCGAAGTTTGGCGTCTACAGAGTTCTTCCTCCTGTTTAACAACACCGTGTTGAAGACTTTTCCCGGTATTGAGAGAATAGTGATGCCCTTGTAGTTATTACAGTTACTGAGATCACCTTTCTTTGATATTTTGACTAGATGTCCTTCTTTCCATTCTATTGGTACTTGTTCTTCATCCCAAATCTTGCTGAAGTAAACCCATAACAACACAAAATTTCTTAAAGTTGATATTCTCTATTAAAATCTCAATAAAGAAACTAATAATGCGTTAGTGTACTGAACATTTAATACAATTTATATAGATTTTTTGAAAAGCATCTTAAATAGCTCAAGCGAAAATGTAAACTTCACTGTATTACATAGAAATGAAAGTATCATAGACTTTCATTCTATTTTCTTTTTAGGTATTAGATATTGTTTGATCTAGGAAAATGTTTAATTAATATGTAAATCTGTAAATTTGTACTTGTTATTATATCATCTTATTAAAAGTAAGTAAAAAATTTTCTATTAAATATTGATCTAACTAGTCATATTTTGTTTAACTCATTCCTTAAATAGTAATATATTAATTGTTTTTATTTTATATTAATTTACACATAAAGAAATACCATGGAAACTAGAATTTCGTGTTCGATTCTATCCACCAAATATTGATATATTCAAAGATGATTTAACGCGTTATTTTTTGTGTTTACAATTAAGGCAAGATATTATCTCTGGACAGTGAGTAAATGATTTTCTAAAATTGTTGAATTCTTTTCTTTTTTTATGATACAATACAGTTTCCATATTCTAAACAAATTTATATTCTTTTCTTTACAAAGCTCAACTAATTTTCTTGGGCAATATTTAAGGGAAATCTTATAGATGTGAGATATTTCAAAAAGTACTACCAGGTGTATAATCTATATTTCACAATGTTGACTAGATATTCACTAATGAATCCTAACTTGGAAGGAATATTAGACGGATATCATATTTTTTTCAAGTGATTACCAGATCAACTCCGTCTTCTCATTGTTCTGTCAAGATCACCAATAAACAAATCATGGATACGTGACATTAAAGTTTGAATAGTTGGTGTGCTACTTACTCACCGAAACAATATGATACACTTGAATTGCAATAAATATGTTTTTATTCTAGATAATTTTAGAACATCTAAGGAGCATGTTGTTTGATTAAAAACTAATATCGTTTTGGATATGATGAGGCAGATCTATTAGAGTGATGAAACTATAGTTACTATATCTAAAATCATACAGTCCGAAACCATTGGAATAACACCGAAAAGTACTTTGAAGTTCTATTGAGAGGCTGTGACCAGTGGAATTCAACCATATCAGTCTGATAAAGGATCACAATTACATAAAGTTGTGAGGTGACTTAAACTGACAATCATTTTAGTAATTATTATTAATCCTGCGTAGTAAAGATAATACATTAGTCGTGAGATATAACTGCTCTGGATTTTAATCCTGAAAGTAGTGAATACATATTGCTAAGATGTGCATGATTGCGATGAAGATACTGTCCAGTGTTTTATGATTTTCAGTTGTTGTCTAGTTAAATCTAATCAGTCATGAAAACATTTAAATTTAATTTCAGTAGGCTAAGAATGTGAATAACCGATTTGTATGTAAGATAAAGAAAAATTGTACTTAAATCTATCTGTACATGATGCTTGTGAAACTAAACACCTTTGAAATTTTAATTTTGTAGATTTTAAGTGTAGCCATGTTGATTATTTCAATGACTTTAATCTATGATATATCTAATAATTGAGATGTTGGGATTCTTTCTAGCTAAAGATAAAATATTGTCGAATGTCAGGGAAAGTGTGGAGTAGTGTGTTTATTTATGTTTTCTCGGCAGTTCAAGTAGCAGTAGGGCAGTAAATATAATTTACGGATATGTTTTTAAATATTATACCATTATTTTTATTTAGCTAAGATTCAAACTTTGATCCAATTATAATCATCATGTACCATCGTAAAGATAACAGGGCACTGAGGCCTAATGTGTACGAACAATATTATCTATTCATGATTCATATGCTTACAAATGTCCGAGTAATTGATTACTTCATTACTAACTATTCAATTGTTAATTTAAATAGGATCTGCTGTGAAGGAGAAGTTGATTATAGCCTTGAAAATTAAAAGTTAAATATGCATAACATACTAGTTTAATGAGAACTTTTATTGACTATTTCAAATAAAAGTTTATTACATAAATATTAAACTTTGAAATGGTGGAGAAGATTTGTAGCTCAGGTGGATGATTTTGGTGAAGTTTTGTTCTCTGAGCTGGATGGTTTGATCGTGGAGCCTTCAACAAGCATATTGAAATCAATCCAATTTATCAACCAATCAGAAAAATCATGCACAAACATAAGAACAAAAATCAAAACAATGGGAGACACAACCAAAACAAAGAAGTAAACAATGACAAATTTAAAGTTAATAAGAACCAATCAACATCGAGGTGCACAGAACAAGCTTTGAAGCACATATGGAGAAATTCAAACACTTCACTTCTATCTGAAGTTTGTGCTGATGATGTCGTTTAGAAGAACGATGAAAGCTTCACGACCAAACCATCCAGCTCAGAGAACAAAACTCCACCATAAATATTAAACTCATTGCATATTATAAATTGAGATTGCATAAAATGTCACTGTAGTACACGTTACTGAAAAAAGAAGGAGAACAATTTTAAAATATATAAGTTATGAATGTTTTCCAAACAGAGTTTAGTGTTTCTATTATTCAACTAATCAAAATGTAAATCAATAACCAAATTGTATTTGATTATTTATTATTTTGTAAAGAAACTATCTATAAAAAAGTGATGTTTTAAGCATGGCTAAATAATCAGATAATATCCATTGAATCACTAAAAATAATAATAAAGGACTAGGACCCCAAATGCCGTGGTACGGCCGAGAGTGGGAAGAGTCCATTCTCCCTCTCCAAATGCTCTCACATGGCCACGCGTATATAGCCTCTGCCAGGGAAGTCCTACTCACTGCCTTCACGTGGCGGGGATGTTGTTTACGAAAACGAGAGGACGAAAAGCGAATGTCCGGCGCTTTAACCGGATTCAAAACCAATAGTGCACATGGGCTCCAGTATCCTGCGGGAACAAATGGCGTATGAACTAATTGTTGGTCACCGGCTTCCATGGGACTATATCTCCTTACAATGCTTTACTGCCTTGGGGATCAGACCTTTAGGTCGAAGGCTCGGGGTGTGGTCCCCTAAGAAAACCACGTGTTTCGGTTTGGGCACCCGGTCAGTATCACAGCCTTCACATATATCGAATGAGATTTGTGTGGAGCATATGTATTTGGTGCCTCCTTGTACCAATATCTATGTGTTAACATAAAAAAAATGAGTTATATATTATGAAGTTATTGTTTTCTACACTAATTTACAATATGCAAGTTATGAGGAGTAGTTTGTTTGTTTTTTTCAAAAATATTGTCACAAACTAAATTATTTGAATTTATTGTTTTCAATAGGATTCCATGTTCACATCATACTTATGTTGTTCTTGGTGCATATGTTGTTCAATCAGATGCTGGAGATTATGATCCAAATACACATATAGGAACAGAATATATTGCCAATATTCCATTTGCACCACAACAATTACAAACTACAAAAATGCTTCAACAAATTGTTGAATTACATAAACTTCATAAGTGAGTAGGCATGTTTTAGGTTCTTAAAATTGTTAATTATGTAGAAGACGATTATTTGGTGATATATGTTTTATATTTTTCTAATATTAAGGAAGTTTGATGTAGGATATACATGTGGTTTAGAAGAAAAAAATAGAATTACTAGCTTTACCAACTTGTAGATAAAGTAACAAGCAGTTCATTTTATATTTCACTGCTTATGTAAATTAGTAGTGAGATTTTAGAGGGTTGTTGAAAACTAGAAATTTTTAGACAGAAATATTCAATATGAGTAAAGACATATTTATTCTGGGGTATTTTTTTGTTATGGACTCAACTGTCACTAGACAAATATTTAAACTCTAATGTGTAAAATGTATAAATATGTACTTTGAAAGTATCCCGATCTCAGCAGTTTAAAAATCCCCATAGTATATTCAGAAACGAAGAATATTTGAGTGAATAATTGTTTTCGATAATTTCATCATCGAGTTCTATAGTTATAAGTTCATAATGATGATATTTTACAAAGGCCAAAAATAAGGCATGTATTAATGAATTTGACAATGTTATGTGTTAAAATTGGTGAACGTTTGCATCTGTTACGATACATATATACTTCAAAATAGTGTTATTTGCAAATTAGAAAAATCATTTAATTAAAGTCAGAATGATTTGGAGTAAAGTGTTCAGTCACAATTAGTAGAATAGTAATATAGCAAAATTAAAAATGTGAAAAAAGAAGAAACTGTGACTCAGTCAGTAAAAAATCCCTATATCTGAGACTGTACTTTAAATGGGACATAACGGGTGATATTTTAACACGTCGACTCAAAAGATCTGTTGAAAGGACGTTTCACGCCGTCATGCTACATATAACTTTCTCAACTAAACCAGTAGTCACACAACAAATCAAGGATAGGTTACCGATGATAGGCTCCTCTATGTATGTATACCAATGTAATTGCTCCTGTGGAGCTAGTTACATCGACCGTGCTCAGAGAGCTTTATCCTTGCGTGTTCGTGAACATGTACCAGCATGGTTGGGAAAATGAGTCATTAAATCAATCAAAAGCACTATCTTTCTCACTTGTTAGATAGAAAATATCCTATCAAAATAGATGAAGCTTTCTCTGTTTGATATCAAGTTCCAAAATATCTACCTCAAGGAGCTAGATTACGATTACACTACATAGATGAAGCCATCTAAATCAACTCCAGAAAAGCAAACTTTTGTATCCAGAAAAGGTATATCCAGTTTCTATGTTTAGATGGTAGTTGGAGGTAGTCAACAGGAAACCCTGGACCCGGGTTTCGTGCTACTTGGCACTTGTCAGCAAGGTGTACCTGTAATCTTGAGGGAACTGGTGCTCCCTGGCGGATTCGATCTCGTGTCACCCAGCTTCACAGTCAGAGACGTTACCATTGAGCTATCCGAGCCGTGACTAACCTCCTGTAGGACTGAGATGTAATCACAATTGATTGATCACTGGGTGGTGATCAATGTCATGCTTGTCTAGTCCTCATTAGTGCAGATCGAATGCTATCGATCATGTTGCAATGTGGCCACCAGTCCAACTGCCATCTAAATATCAATCCATAGTGCCCGCAGTGTCGAGTCACCTAGACTGGTGGCCACATTGCAACGTGATCGATAGCATTCGATCTGCACTAATAATGACTAGACAAGCATGACACTGATCACCACCCAGTGATCAATCAATTGTGAGTCTTTATGTTTACCTTGACCTACGACTGGATCACCGGATACCTAAACTGAATATTATAAACCTCTTACCCCCTTCCTTTTTTTGATTACATCTATCTTATTCTCCACATTGATCATTCCGAATTCACATGATTCCCTTTTTTGTTTATCGTAATTATCTTGATAACATCCCTGTTACTACATATTATATTCAAAGAACAATATTATTATTATTACTATTGCTATTATCATTGATATCTCAATTGGCAAGATGAAATTCTCCTACTATGCATTTTATTCACACCATTTTTATTTTTAATTTTTAATTTTGCTATATTACTATTCTACTAATTGTGACTGAACACTTTACTCCAAATCATTCTGACTTTAATTAAATGATTTTTCTAATTTGCAAATAACACTTTTGAAGTATATATGTATCGTAACAGATGCAGACGTTCACCAATTTTAACACATAACATTGTCAAATTCATTAATACATGCCTTATTTTTGGCCTTTGTAAAATATCATCATTATGAACTTATAACTGTAGAACTTGATGATGAAATTATTGAAAACAATTATTCACTTAAATATTCTTCATTTTTGAGTATCCCGGTCTGTTAATACTTTTTTCTTCAAAAGTCTTATGGAGATGAAGTTTTTATCTTTAGGAAGCAGATATTGATTTACATAAAACCTTTTATTTTTTTTTCTTCATTCCACTTTATTAAAAATTTATTCATCCCACAAATAGAGCAATACAATTCATTTACAATAATTGATAAATAAACAACTCACCATATTATAAATGAAGCATTATTACCTAAAATTAAGACAGACAAATAGAAAACAACTGAAAATGTCAACAACAATAAAAAGTTGCCAGAAATCTTAAGGGCGTATTAATTTGAGAAAATTTTTAACTAGGAAACAAAGTTATACCTTATTTTGCTTGAATTTAAAAACATAAATGATGAATGATCTTTTTTAAATTACTAATTAAATAGATGTTGGAATCTGTAATGAACATTAGATTCATTGGTATAGTTAATTCATAAACTAATTGTTATAATGTTCTAGTTTATGGTTAAATATTAGTAAAGCTTAGTAATTAGTAGGTTTAAATAAACTTACTAATCAAACATACTAGACATTGCTAACGTCCTTAACTAGTAGTCGAAGTGATTGGTTTTTGTTTCATTGGATTAAAAAAAAAACTAATTATTGAGAGAAAGTTCATATTGAAACTTAATAGACTACATTAGACGGAATTTGTGGTGATAAATAATATGATAAAATCATTTGTAGATCAAGAAAAGGATACAATTATCAGCTTTGTTGTTATTGAATAGTTGTGGAATAGGAGATGATTAATCTACTTATACCAACTAATTGCTTAATTTGATTTATTCTCCATCATGTATAAGTAGTTAGGTTTTTGAAGATGTAATTTACCAGAAGTCAACTAGAGAAAATGATTTATTTTTAAACAAAATGTTCAAAAATGTTATTACGATTTAAAATTATGAATATCTATGTGATGCTATCTCTTATAGCTTTGTACATCTTTCTGTGTGTAATTCACACCCAAGATGAACGAATTATGTTAACAATTCTTAAACATAGTATAGTGAACGAGAACATAAATGAGGACAGTCAAATGTATTTGAATACAAAATTATAGAATCTCTCAGTAAAATCTGTGAACCATACAGTAAATGATTCATTTGTAAAATGTCAATCAGTCATCTCAGACTTCATTTTTCTTTCGTTTCCACACCAATCATTCTCTGTTCTCGTTCGCGTTTCTTCGATCTTTTGAACCTCCATGCACTTCACTTTCAATTGATGATACACAGTAGTTATATCTGTCAACATCGGTAGCATATATCACTATAGTAGTGATAAACATTAACATATATGATTTTTTGAGTCGAATTATTTAACTCATATTTTTACTAATGCGACGGATTATAATAGGCATTTACATAAATAATTTTGTTTAGCACAATTTATTAAACCCAACAATAACAAAATTAGAGAATGAATATATTTATTTCAATATATTCTATGATTTATAGAGGACAAAGTTTAGTTCAGGCTGATCGAGGATTTTTGGAAAATGCCAGACGACTTTCACTTTATGGAGTTGAGTTTCACAGGGCAAAAGTAAGTCTAGCATTTTACTCCTATCATTATTTTTACAACCATGAAGGTAAGAACATTATTCATTATGTTTGTACTACATTGTCATACAGTTAATATTTAGATTTGCTAAGTGTACTTGTCCACTTTCCTGGTTACTTATCATGATTTGAGAAGTTGTAGGTATTTTTCTTTTTCCAAACAGCTCAAGAAATTCTAACACCCCATACACTTATATCTAACTCTTATGTTAAGGCTTATGCTATGTAACTTCATCTTATAGAAATTTAGTTTATTTCACTATGATCGCCTAGTAATACTTGTCATCGTTTCACTTTCATGGACTCGACTTCTTAGTTCCAAGCAAATATGCTGGTAACGAGTAATAGTGAATGCCACATGAATAAGTCTTTATAGCATTAGTCTTTAGTGTCTCAAGTGACGATATGAATTAGCAAATACCGATTATTAGATCTAATTCTGTTGACCACTCGGTTTTTCACCCAGTAAATAATGAAAATATTACATATTTTGTAGCTTCACAGTGTTCACTCATCGATAAACAATTCTCATGTATTTTCCTTATCAATGATCATGCTAAACAACACAATATATTGCTATTGAGTATGCAATCAGTTAATGAAACTGAATATCTGATGAAATTCCTTTAAAAAAGCAGTTATAACTAGCAGTCTTGATTTTGCATTTGTTAAAAAATTATCGTAACAATATGAAAATAACTGAACTATTCTTCCAAATTCTAATTTTAAAGTTGTAAATTTACATGTAAAATGCACTTTGACTACTACAGTCTACGATAGAGATTGGTTTTATTAGTTACTACGATACCATATTTTAAGTCATTGTAACTTCCTGATCATAAACATATTTCTGTTTATATTTTAATAACCAGTTTACTAATTGCTTTCCTTTTCATTTATTGGTTGGTAACCTTGTGTAACTCTGTTATTTATTTTGCCGTTAGTACCAAATTTTAATGAAACGATGATAACTTCATAAAACACTGTTTGTGGTGTGTGGAGTGTCTGTTTCGTCTTCCGTCGGAACTTTTCACAGCGTTCTATAATCAAGACGATAATGCTAAACAATACTTTCTGTTTTTACTTTTCATTTAGATCATACAGTAAATAACTACTTACATGTTGCAAGTATTATGACAAGTTTTATTACCTTGTTTTATTGAGAAGTGATGCGAAGAAATGATTTCATATTTCATTCTTGCATTAGTTGTGTATTTTAATTACTCAGACTGCCAATTTACTATTGATGAAAGAAACTGCAGTTAAATAGTCTTGTTGTATTACTTATTTGTCAAAAAATAGGATTTAATGAGTACAAGGTTAGTCTTATCTCTATCTAATCCCTTCTCGTATTGTTGTTGTCATTAAACATTGTTGTCATGGCAACTGAAGTGACAGGAAAATAATTTCATTAAGAAATTTAGGGTTTAACCATAGGTAAAAAGTTATGTCACTTGGTACATTCTATTTAAAACTAAGCACAAAATATATCCAGTTTTTTTTTAAATTTCGATAGAAAACTCATGATGATAGAAGTTATATTAGCGATTTTTAATATTCTTCACCTATTTTACAGACGATTGCGGGCGAAAGTATATGTTTAGGTGTATATCATGGTGGAATATTACTTTATCATGGGATGTTAAGGGTTAATCGGTTTTTGTGGCCTCAAATTGTAAAAATATTGTACAAATCAAAAAATTTCATTATTGTCGTTAGATCAATGCATAGTGAAACTTTGAGTAAACGTGGAACTCTAAGAAGAACATTATCACCTGGTGGTTTGAAAGTATCTGATAAAAAGTTCAGTGGTTCTGAGTCCATTCATGATGTAACACTGACTTTTCAGTGTACAGATCCCCGTTTGGCCAAAAGATTATGGGATTCTTGTACTTCGCAACATGCATTTTTCCGGTATGTAAAAATTTAAATGTTGTCTTATTAGGATGTTTTCTTACTCATACTCATTATACATTTATATATACATTATTATGTTAATAATCACTTTAATCAGAATTGGTAAAACGGTTTTAGGGCCCTTGCTTAGAAGAGAACACATTATGCACCAAATAAACACCGAAACCAACCATGATTTAGGTAAATGGAAAGTTATTACATCATCCTAAGGGATAAATTACTTTAATCAACAATATCAAGTAAACTTAAGGGCGTAGGCGAGACAATAAGTCATTTTTTTTATTAAAAAAATTTATTGATCAAATGTAATTAGCCGTAAATTTCAGTTTCTCAACCAATCATCTTTAGTAGATTAATTTACAACACATTTTTATTTATCCTTTTTATGTTTTTCTCAAATAACCAAATCACAATAGATATTCAACTGAGATGATTATTTTGAGTACTAGATAGGTTTTCTTATTAAAAGACTCAATAAAATATTCACTATTCATAGCCACAATTTAATGACACTTAACAGTTCGTCAGTATTTAGTTGAACGGATAATTGTTAACAGTATAGGGTTGTGGAGATTGTTGAGTTTTAATTGAGATTATGAACCGATCAATGTTAGACCACTTTAGTGGCTCGATATCTGACTCCAGTTAGATCGTATGTTGATTTTTATTGAAATATACATGTTACCAATCCTCGTATATAATCATTGACTTAACCCGCGTTAGTGTATAATGTAATTAAATAGGTCAAATACGAAAATGGATTTATGGTCGGAAAGAGAAGTAAAACAAAACGGTGCGCAATGGAGAAGGCGAGTGAGCCAACCTTATTTAACCAAGCGTTAATCGATGTTTATAGTCAGGTAAAAATAAGTTACAGACGTGTGATGAACAGGATAAGAAGTGCACACACATACGCTCATATAAAAACAATCAAGGTTGATAATCGAGCAATTAACAAGGTCAAAATGTGACTCAAGAAGGATGAATAATTTGGCTTGCCTGGAAGCTAGAATACGTTATGTGGGTTTAACATGGTAGCTGACACTACACAACCATCGGAAACTTGGAAGCATTGGACGAGCGTTTCGTCCCAGATGGGACTCCTCAGCAGTGCGCATCCGCGATCCTTACGCAGGGCTTGAACCCGTTGGATGCCGTCGCAGTGGTCGGGAGGTTAAACATCCGCACGCGAGATCGGATGTCATGGGTTCGAGTCACTCATGGGGTATCGTGGATATGCATTAGTGATAAATCCTATACTAGGAAGAAACGACCGTCCAATGCTTTCAAGTTTCCAATGGTGATCTAACATTGATTGGTTCATAATCTCAAATAAAGATAATTGTTAACTCTAGTGGTTGCAATTTAGTCGGAAATATACATGGTTTTTTTGTAATTTGAAAATGAGTAAAATAAAATAAAAACTTTGACAAACTGAATAAGCGATTAAGTTCATGGTAAGTGTTTCACAGTGAATTCAACTATTTTTTACAGCAAACACTAAAGTGCAGGATTCGTATACTGCCAGAATTATTGTGGTCTGGTTATTTTGATCTGAAATATATCCCATCATGTTAGTTGAAATAAAAAATTTTGTATTTTTATTAGCTATTGAATATTTCCATTCAATGGACAAGTCTTGACATACAATTTGAAAAAAATTAAATAGTAGATATAACAGTTATCATACACGTTTTACATGTAATCCCAAAAGTTTTGGTGTCAAGTCTGACTTTTGAAGTGTTCATTGTTTCCTATACGTAATGTATTGTGGGACTCTTGTATTTCTCTACTATGTGTAGACTGTAGTAAAACTATGATTAGTCTTACCGAAGAATAAATGAAAAGAACCTTGCGAATCAGTCAAATGACGTTTATTTGAATAAATCACATAGGGTTGTTATAAATAAGGTTTCAAATGTTTATTCACAACTATACTCATCTGTAAATTTCACCACTATTCCTCAGTATTCTATGCTAAATAGTATAGTTTTATTTCTAAGGATATGATAAAGAATGATACTGAGTGATAAAGAAGCATATGCATTCATTTAGAATTATTAAAGTATAGAAAGTAAATTTTAGGTAAGACCAAGATTAAAGCCTTTTTGAATGATGAGTTATTAACAAAACGTACTAAGACTAAGTGAGATCTTATGAAAATGTACACCAACATAAATATGATATGTGATGCTTTTAAAAGAAAATATGAATTATGGAGACGTTTGACTACATCAAGCTATCATCACCTTTTTAAGGTTAAATTTAAAGTTGATAGTTTGATATTCAGGCAGATTACGATAAAGACCATTCATAACATGGTGAAACGTCCCTTAGGCACTATCTACTTATAAAGTAATTTAAACAGAACAAATTGAAGTCTGTGTTCCCAGGTAATTCACATACTTAAAAAAGTGTTTTCAGTGGAAAAGAGCCAATCGTATGGGGAAACAAAGATCGTAAGAGTAAAAACAGCTCCATGTAACATATAATTCCTAACTAGTAAATAAGTCGAAAGTTCTCCACAACATATGGTGTATTATTCTTTTTTCAAAAAGCTAATAAAGTAACAAATTAGATATTCATAAGACCTGAAACTGATGTGTATCAAATCAAGTTACTATGCCACAACAACACGGCGAGACATTAAGAAAAATTATAACAAAGCAACTGAAATAATAGCATTGCTAATCATACTTAAGATATTAGGTAGAAAAAACAGTTTGAAAATAACAGTGAAGCTGAGGTGTAAATATTGTGAAGCAAAGCATAATACATAATGGAAAATAAAGAACTCATACATTTTCGTCACTGTAATCGACTTTAAGCCATGTCTATACTGATTACAACTGTACCTTAGATTCGAACAAGAAAATCCCTTCATCTTCATTTAATTCAAAATTATACCGCATGACCTTATGGACTGATGCAACAACTTGACTCACCTTACGATTTCTTTCCAACATGTTAATATGCTAGTTGTTAAGGCTTTTGCCCCTGTCAATTATCACGTGACAAAATCGCCAATCGGAATACTGACTTACATGACCTTGTTTTTGTGCTAAACCAATGGCACGTCGACCAACAATAACAGCCTTGCATCAACTCTGATTCTTTCTTCCTTCTTCTTGCCTAGTCTAGAGCACCATCCCAGCCTCCATTGTATGAATAATATATTTCAAACATACGTAGTTTATATGCAAGCAAACGAGACCACAACAACCTATAAAAATTATAGAAGATCGAGCCGAAAGTGTCTGAGTGTGAGACACTCTAACTAATAGATTAGGATATATATATGTATATATATATATATATATATGTATAATAGTTATCCAATAGGAATGTATGTAATAATAGTTCATAAACAATCCCTAGCAGTTACCATTCATTTATTCTTCGTTCGAATGTGACATAGGCTATTATTTGATCTCCATAAATAAGTTAACAATCCTAATTAATCGATTATGTAAAATATAATCCACCAGGTAAATTTTAATTAAAGTTACTGTTTTATGTCATTTATATCTTCTTCAAATGAACATATATTATGTTAGATGCATAAATATGAGCTGTTACTCGCCTTTTAATGCACATTGATGAACATGATAAATAACTGTAGTTTTTGTTAGAATAGATAGATTTCAGTATTCAGCCAGCTTCTGACATTACCATAAGCGGTGTGAAGCCTGATTACACGTAGGTCCCCTTAGCTACCATCAAATTTAATCTTTGTTAGAATTCACTGCGGTTTGAGACGCGAGTTATGTCTCAAAAACTGGTACATTCAATAAATTTTCTCAGTAGATTCAGTCAGTTAAATTACAAGCAATTATTTGATGGGTTAGATTAGTGAGTACCGACCCTTTTGTTATTGATCCCTAAAATTTTAAAACAAATAACTGAGTAATATTTGTAAATGTAGACAACTCCCATTTCCAGTGAAAAATAGGATGATTATGTACACGATTCCAAAAAATAATTAACAAAAAATGAATTATTAGTGTTTTCTGTGAATTCATCATAGAAAGATTTTCAAATTATCTTTTTATTATGTCGTGGTATGTTAGGCACAAACCAATCATAACCTTTTAAACTTTGGCTTAATTTATTTTACTATGGATGATTAGTTTACGTGATACACCAGGACCCCAAAGATCTAATCTTACAACAGCTTTCAGTACGCGAAAATATCATTTTACAAGTAAATCATTCGATGCATATTCAAGAGAACCTAGTTCAGAATGGATTCCACGACAACAGCCTCCAATTAAGCGAGTACAAACTCAAAGAAAGCCGATTCAGTACAGTAAGTGAAATATTCTACAGACGCTTTTTGTTCAGTGTCTTAATTGTATTAATCAGAAATACCTTTTGCAATCGATGTAGTTTATTTGATAATCTTTTAAATTACTTTATCAATTTATTTTAGTGGTTCACTCAAGTCATCTTGTCTGTTCCTCATTATTTATCGTATTCAAAGACAAACGTTTTACATTTTTATTCACATCAACATCTATCACTATTTCAAGCTATAACACGTTATTAAGTGACATTGAAACTATCATAAGCGGTTTTTGAACATCAGAAGATTGATAATTAGAATTTAATAGTTCCCTGAGTTTGGTTTGAACTTCACATAAAATGTATTTCTTGCTGTCAAATATATTAACGAAGTACGACCTCGATATCGCGTTATCATTAGGAGAGTCACTGAAATTGTTGACTATCAAACCAATTATCATACCTCATTTACTACATTTAATTTTAGACCAGAAAAAATCATTTAAATAGAAGAATGACAAACGTTAATCAATAAGATTAATGTAAACAATACAGTTCATGTTCTTCTGATGGAAATAGGACAAATTATTAATCATTTGTTACTTTAATAACCAGTTTAATAAAACCGTATTTATTTATAACTAATTTTCATAACCGATTTAATATTGAGAAGATAAATTTTAGAAAGTACAAAGAATTGGACAATGTTTTCTCGTTAATTTTAGTATCTTTAGTCTATAACATCCAAACAGTTTACTCGATTTAAATGAAATTTTCCATTGTATAATCAGTTATAATAAATCAATAATCTTTAATAATCAGATACTATAATAGTATATATTTTATTAAATCTCAAAAGCAGAATCTCCTTCAGCTAGTCCATCAAAACAACAACACCAAGGTAGGTCAAGTTAGAATATACATATTCTAGACTTTCAAAGAATAATTATTTCTATTAACACTAAATTTGTAGTTAACAGTTCTAACAATCCTAATCGATATTACCTTTAACTTAATGGTTTACGCTTAACATGCTTACACTATTTGTGTGTAATTAGTTTTTAATTAACCGATAATTATAAATGATTTACCGATATAAAAAACTACTCAAATGACATCTAATTTCACATATTTAACTAACATTAGTACTTTGATATGAAACTGTTTTTTATACTAAATACCAACTCTGTTGCGTATTCATTTCTAAGAACATTACTAATGACATTTCCACTACATGGATTTGTGAAAGTTATTAAACTTTAAGTCAGTTTTCATTCAGCAATTTTAGTTACACATAAATGAATCTTTAAAAATTCATTGCCCATTAGTGGGTAGCTCTGAGAAAAATTCTTCAAGTTTGTGTAAGAATGTATGACTGATGAAAGCTAACCATGCAATGAATATCAGTGCGCTATTGAATAATAGTTGCTTAACATAGACAACTGGCTCACGTTACAAATGTGAATCATTATATCAAAACTCAATGGTTTGATTGTCTTATGGTCACAACGAGGCATTAATATCTTGAATTTGATCCTTGGAGTGAGATATCGGGTGGAACATACAAAAAGGTCCTGGTTTATAATTAAGTAGTTGTTCAATTTCTTAGTTTTCCAGATTAAGTAAGTTGATCATATAATTCAACATAAGATGAACTCAGTGTTAAGTGACCAAAGTCGTATTCAACCTTTATTAACGGTTGAAGGATATTCGATTAAATTATTACTTAACTATGTAAAGTTTGAATAATTTTTTCTGGTTAGCGTTTTTTCAGCGAGTTAGTTTTCTACGGGATGGGGTTGCTAACCCCATGCCCAACCCTCCTTCTTTGTCCGGGTTTGGGATCGGCAGTAGCCCCCGGAGGGACTCCAGACGGAGTTAACTCTGTAAGGAGTCAGCACTAATTTGACAACTTTATTCACTTCCTTATATATTGAACATTCTTCAAGATATATACTTACTTATCCTCATTAGAATAAAACAAATACGTTATGTGTTGAACACTATGATTAAAGAGTAACATCGGTTCAAATCCACTGTAGTTGGAGTACATTTTAAATGTTACCATCATTGGTTAAAAATACTTAAATAGTTAATTATCGTATATTCTTTCTAGGATTCTCAAACACCTTTCCATTGTTTTTTTATTACTCTCAGGATTGAATTAATTACGATGAATTTGATTTAAATTCTAACGACTCAAAGATTAACTTTCACTTCATAATTATGTACAGAAATTTGTGTTTGGAATTTGTTATATAATGATTGGTTAAAAACTCTCATACTTAGAGTAAAATACACGTTTCTTTTTTCAAGATTCTTGTTTGGGATAAATTAAACTTCCGTATTTAAGTATGAAATTTACAATACAAAAAATATGTAGGTAATAGTCAGATATTTATCTCCTTATTGAAAATACTTTCAAATGTGATTTTAGAGAAAGGATGGTAGTGATTAAAATTAAAATTCAATGTATTTACGCAGTTCATTCACATATCAAGTGTATGTGAAAGAAACAGTTATTCTTTGAACTGTTTTGGTCGCAAAAAATTATTCAGTTCAGTCAGTCGATGTACATATTTATCTTTTCGTTAAATAATTAAAATCAATGGAAAGTGAGCTTATTATCTTTGTGAGATTATTAAATATAAATACTACATATGTCCCACATTTTCCATTTTTTTTATGATCTTACTTATGATTTTGCTAGAAAGATAGTTTAAGGTCACTAAACAGTAATAAATATTTTAGTTTTCTGTATTTCAGATTGCTGTACTAAACAGATTACTAATACTGACTTCTTCATCTACTTGTTATCCCTATGTATTACGTCATCGATTTTCATATTTTACTGTGCAAACTTTTACATTTAAATTAATCTAAGATTAAGATCATGAACCGGTCAATGTTAGATCACCATCAGAAACTTGGATGCATTGACCGGTCTTTTCGTCCTAGTATGGAACTCCTTAGTAGCACGCATGGACGATCCACATACGACAATCGAACCTAGGACCTTCAGTCTCGGACGCGGACGCCCAAACTTCTGACCAATGCGCCAGCATCCTATGGTGTTAATGTCTAATTTCAACTAATCCATGATATTGTGTGACCATCAGGTATGAGCCAGATACTCGCCGAAGACAATGGAGGATGGCGGCGCAATATTGTGGACTCGTCGAAGTTATACATCAACACCGTTGAATGTCAACTCATTTGTCTCGAGGTTAAACGTTCGTGCAAAAACGAAGATCCTAGGTTTGAGTCCTGTGTACAGGATCGTGTGTGCGAGCTGCTGATGAGTCCCATACTAGGATGAGACGGTTGTCTAGTGCTTCCAATTTTCTAGTGGTGATCTAAAATTGATTATTTCATGATTTCAATTAAAACTCAACAATCTCCACAACCCTATAGTGATAATCTAAAATTTTCCTTTTGCATGTTAAGAATAATAAATTTCTGTAGATTTTTATATAGCATATCTTTACTTTTATTAATTATTAGCCTATTATTTGTGTTTTTGCGTTCTGACATTATTTTCGGTTTTTTAAAATTCGTTTTTTGTTAAAAGTTCTTCATTTTAATCACAAGTTTTTGTCATCTTTCATAACCTATTTAATATAACTCGTCAGAAGATGTCTCCAGTCACTTAATTCATCCCGATGTTTAGGATCTGATGGTATCTCAAACCTCCTTTTTTAAAAATGTGCTGACGTCCTATGTTATCCATTCACGACTATCTTTAACCGATCCTTCTCATCTAATCCCATACCGAAAATGTGAAGAAAGATGAAGATAATCCGTGTACCCAAGAAAGAATCTGGTGATAAGAATGTGAAATTTAGACCTATTGCAATAACTTCACCCTTCCTCAAAACAATGGAACAATTATTAATACTTCCACTTCAACCTGCGATGAGAGAGCATATTGATCCGTATCAGTTTGCCTACAGATGGAAATGAAGCACCTTAGATACTGTTGCTGTTCTGCATCACAATATAGTGTTCAACTTAGAAAAGGGTAAGAAGTATGTTCGATGGGCTTTTCTGGACTATACTTCAGCCTTTGATTCTATACCAAGACAAATTTTAATTAACAAGTTAGTCAGCGTCAACACTGACAGCTGGATAACCAACTGGCTATGTTCCTACCTCTCTGAAAGGGAACAGTACACTGTGTTTGGAGGAAAGTGTTCAGAGTCTCTACTGTCTCATGAAGGTGTACCACAAGGAGCTGTTCTTCCATCTCTTCTTTTCTCTTTTTTTCTGCATGATCTGCCGTCTTACACAGAAAACACTTTTGTTAAATATGCGGATGACCTCACTGTATGTATGCCTATCTCTTCCTCTTTACATCCCATAGAAATGAATGGGTTTTTGTCTCGTATTGATTGTTGGTCTGTTGGTAATAGTTTTATACTTAATCCACCTAAATGTCAAGCTGTTAACTTTAGCATGATACATGAACGGCATCTAAACACCATTTTTAGATCCCTTAATGCTTGTACCATTGGAGACTCCTTGATAAACACAGTTTCAAAGGTCAATTATCTTGGTGTCACCTTTTCCTCTGATCTTTCTTGGTCTTCCCACTTTTTATTGTTATGGAAGAAAGTTTTCCGTCTGACTTACTACATAAAGAGATTACATGCTCTTGGGATTACTCGTCATTCGCACTTACAATTTGTCAATTCTAGCATATTACCTATTATTCTTTACTGTTCTCCATTATCCCTTCCCGGGCTTTTGAGAAAAGAGTTTGTTGTATTGAGGAAAGTGCTGAAGGTAGTTAGCAAGATGTGTGATGAATCTTTCGAGGTCATAATTAATATGGTTGTGGATACACATCTAAAGTCATGCATACTCCTGGCAGGTGTTATTTAATTAGATACTAGCCATCCCCTTCACTCTTATCTTTCTCCTTGTATATCTTCTGGTAGAACGATGAGTAATTACATTAAAATCCATGCACGCAAGCAAAAGTACAAAAGTTCTATAATACCTTACCTAGCAAATATACTCTGTGACGAACAAGTTGTTCGAGTTAACCTAGTCAATAACCTGCACTCTTAACATGTCTTGAATTTGGAAAGTTACACAGTTTTTTCGGATTTTTTTAAACCTTTTTCTGCTTTTTTGTCTTTGTTTCTGTTTTTTGTTTTTTTGTGTAAGAAACTTGTTGAAATATCCTGTTCTGAGAATTCTATATTGTACCAAAATATAATATTGAATAAAGCCAATAATAATAATAATGCTGTAAAATCTGGATAGGTTCCATTGAAGACTGCAGTGTCTTCGGAATATATATGTAAACTCTTATCAAGTTGTAGTGCGAGCTCGTATTTGCCTGCATTTTACTGAACTTATAGTATTCATTTCATCTCTGTATATTGGTGTAAAGTTTTGTATCCTCGACTAAATGACTATTTAGGTTACGGTTTGGTGGTGGCCATTCTTTCTAAAACAAATTTGTGATATTACTGCATAATGAACTAACCGGTAACCATTTTCGATATCTTTTACTGTTTTTAACTTCATGACGACAAGATTATTATTGAGTCTTAGATTTTACAACCTTTGTCACAGTTTGCGTATGTATTTACAATTTGTTCGAATAAAAATTTATTAAATTTTATAATGACTCTATTTATATATTTGGGTTACCGAACAATTGGTTTGAGATAGTTATCTTCTTGGAATCAGTGTATTTGTTCAATCTGTGTGTTTTGTGACCACTTGCTTATCGCTTCTCGGCTCTCTGAGCTAAGATCATGTGTAGTATCATGAGCTTATAGCGCTATTCTTCATACACATACTGGTATATGACAAGTACATTTATCTCTAGGTTCACTAATTTATGTTTTTAGTATAAGTTACACTCAGTAGTTTCTGACAAAGTTTAAATAAGTACAGGGTAACCACTTCTGCTTTTCATTTTTCAATAATCTACTAGAATCTTTTTACATAAAATAATCAATTGTGGAAGAAAAATGATTTTCTCAACCCGTTTCTATTTTATTACTAGTATCTGGTAGTGTTGCACCAGTTGCTTATGGAGAAGAACCTGATCAGTATTATTTGATGCCTGGTACACCTTCTCCTTTACCAGCTAATTCAGTAAATGTTGATGTTTTGCAAAATTTACCACCATCTTACCGTAAACCAGGTCCAATTCGAGTACCTCTACCAGAAGATCACTGGCAAATGTCAGCAGCTGATTGTACACAAGGATTAGGAAGAAATATTGATGGAACAGACATAGCAGCAATGCCAGAAACAGAATGGCAAGTAAGTCATCTTGTAATATGTTTATCCTTGAATTACTCACTTTTAATCTAGTATGAGACCACCTCTTGATCACCTCAGAAGCATCAGCTTGATTGATACCGTCTTTAAAATTTTAGCTGTCCTAATTAATTGCCTTCTAGTTGTGACTTAAAGGAAGCAAATCCATGAAACATAGAAGTATTTTATATGTAGCTGTGATTTCTAAATAAGGACTTGTTTGCCGAATTCCTACTGTAGTCGTGTTCTCTGACATAAAAACGTTATTCGAGTCGACCCTCAGAGATGTTTTTTGACAGTTCGTCATTCTATAGATCGTTTTTCACTCAAATGCGGATAGTTCAGTGGGGCTTACATGGAAGTGTTATCTGAATTAGCTTTGTCAAGTGGTATCCATTAGGGCTATCTACTTCTCCTATTACCATTGAATCCTATCACAAATACGTTCTAAAACTTACAAGGAGTACTTAGAATTTGATTTGCAGAAGATGCCAACACAATACAAAGTCGTTCGAAACTTATTAGTGACAGCGAACAGATATATGAATCGGGATTTTTACCCTCTACATGAAAAAAGCGCTTAAGAACTAATCCCTGCCCAGTATGACAATGGGATTTGAAGTAATTGGATGTTATGACTACTCTTTTAAGGAGCCTCACTATTCTTGACCAGTTACTACGAAAAACTTCTTTGCCCCTTACCCTAATACTTTAATTTTGACATGTTTAAAATACTTGCATGATTAGCAAATGGAAAGCATATTACTCAAAGGTGTACTCTGTATTTTGTCACTAACATTGAATTTATCCCTTTTACCTCTACGTTGTGTGAAGGTCGCAATAAATTCGTTATAAATATCTTCAAACCACTACCTTTGTTTGACAGAACCACTGATTAAACAGAGCTGCTATTAAGCACATAATTTCATAGCGATGTGGTCAATCTGTTGATGAGGTTGTAAAACCCTATCGATTGACGTAGTGAATGCATTTGTTGTTTATGACTGGTCACTCCTTACTTTGAAGTGCTAAGGTGATTAGAATAGGGGCAAATTTGGAAAGGCGTTAGAGCCAACATAATTAAGTGACATTTAATAAAATCATCACGAAAACTCTTCCGATATTGAGGAATTAATAACTGCCTTTCTGTACCGTACACATTTTTGTTCTTTGATTTCACCCACTATGTTTGCCCTCGTTTTCATTTGAGGATGTCATCAGTGTTACCATCAATATCATTCAGCAGGTCTATGAATTAACTGAAATGTTCAGAATCAGTGATTTCATTTGTTGTTAAATCCTACTTTAATGCCTTTTGATAATCTGTATTTTATGAAGTCTTCACAGAGAAACGTTTTTTAAAGCATTTTATTACCCGTCGTACGTTCAAATGCTTTACATAATTGTGATTGCTTATATTTCACCTAAATACCAAGAATAGAAAATTCACTGAAAGTTTAAAAGCTTACTCGAAAATTGGCTACCGAAGTAATGAGTCCTTTTAAATAAGTTATGAGATTAGCAGGTTTAATAAGGATAAAAATAACATAACATTATTAAATAGTAAAATCAAGTTAAAGATTTTGGGTATATTCTATTGTCTGAGAATCATTATATTCAGTAAGCCGATTACAAAGTCAAATCATTCTAGAGACATTATGTATCTATTTTAAAGTCGGTGTATTTGTGATTGACAGAAAGGTTTTCATTTGTTCGACTTTCATATTGACTTGTCTCTGATTTCTATTACTGTTTACATTTAGGGTTGCCGTACAAATTGGGGTTTAAAAGGTCCAGGAGCTTATTACTACGAAGCATGTATGCTTGAAGAAGGTCAAGTACGTTTAGGTTGGTCAACAAATGATGCTAGCCTAATTCTCGGGACAGATTCCAAAGGCTTTGGTTATGGAGCTGATAAAACAGGTTTGTTTAATAAATGTACAATCACCCTAGAAATCATTCATTTCTTCACCATGAAACATTGAAAATTTTTGATTGGTTGGTAACATATAAATGGAGATTTTATAAGAAGCGATCATTACTATGGTAATTGTTTCTTATTAGAATCATGCAACATCTCTGTAATTAGCTATAAACCTGTATTCAAATCTAATTCATTATTAATAATTTTATTCAGGATTAGTCAATTCTGTTCTAATAGTTTTTTTCACAAAAAAAACTATGTATAAAGTAAAACTTAAAGGTTAATCTGCTTCTTCATTTTAGTTGGTCGTAACAAATTTTGACCTATTTAAACCTTTGACAAGTAAATTATCCGATTCAGTTTAAAATGAGTTTCGGACATTCCTAAATATTATACGATAGTTGGATTCAAATTAAAGGGAACAACAGATAAATAATTTTTTGTAGGTAATATGATTGATGAACTCCACCTGGAGCCCCTCTGGAGCTGCTGCCGGTCACAAGCCCGGATAAAGGAGGAGGGTTGGGCATGGGGTTAGCTACTTCATCTCGTAGAAAACTAACTCGCTAAAAAAATCCTAACTTATATGACTGATAAAATTTGCAGTGTTCTATTTATCAACTATATTCCCTTTATGAGAGGAAGACCCAATATTTTAGTGTAATCAGCTAAATTTTTTCAACAATTCAACTTCAGTGAGTCTTTGAGTTTTCCCGCTGTTGATATTAAAGATTGCAATTGATTAATCTGTTTTGACATATCTACATCCTGAACAGTATGTCTCGAAATTGTTATTAATTTACGAGCAGCTCATTAGGTGATGCGTTGGTAGGTTGAAGCGGAAGGTAATGTGTTTGAGTCACTGACTAAACATCCACACGGATGCCCGTATATCCTGCTGACAAGTCCCCAAACGAGACAAGACAAGCATCCTGGAATTCAGTGCTAGCCACTGTCCACTCTTACTTAAGTTACTTGTGATTGATCAAAATTCAGTTCTTAGAATAAACAAAAGGAAGATTTAAAGTCTTACAAGTGAAATAATACTACTAATACTACCAAACAATATTACCATACTTCTTATCCGTTCAATTTTTTATGTAAAGGTATTGGATCAGCTGATAATCCTCATCCAGTTGGCAAATTTATCTACGCAAATAATTCAATTGATTACGGAATGCCAATCGTACCAGGAGATGTAGTTGGATGTTATTTAGAATTAAATCCGAGTGCTGATAAAGATCATCGACGAATCGATATACACTATAGTTACAATGGCCAATTATTAGAAACTCCAAACTTTAAACTTGTTGAAACATTAACTCCAGATATAGCACTCTTCCCTGGTAAGTCATTTATTGTATCGTTCAGTAAACCATCTTCTCTTTATTTCATGAAAGCTAAATGTAGAATGCTAACACATAAAGAAACTAATGCTTGAATGAATATACAGATGTTTGTCAAACCTATAGTAGTTATTTTTTCTAAATAGTCATGGTGTGACAAAACAAATAATCTATGACTGCTTTCCTTCTTTTCAAGATTAGTCTATCCTCAATTAAACTGGTGGGCTCACATCCGTTATAAAGCACAAATTACTACTATTTACGTTGATAGACTTAAATGTAATTTAAAGATATTAGGAACGTATTGAAATTCAAATTGAAATAGTTTGGATTATCCCGTTGTTGATATTTTAACTAAATTTGATCAGGCTTGGTTGGTCTATGTGTGGATTGCCTAGATATCGCCATCATGACACAAGTCAGTGTAGAATAGATGAAATGTGACTGGCAATGGTGTTCTGGACACATGTTTCGTTGTATTTGGGACTCGCCAAGTGCTCAACAACTATCGGATCCAGGTACATCAGGAACAAAATATGAGCCCTAGATTCTACTTCTAGTGAAATCCCATCTATTCTTTAATAGCTTCAGTTTGTTGATGACGATAAGTCTTGCCAAATTTGATCTGCCACAATAAACTACACCTTGCATTACATTTTTATTTTTCAATTCCAAATAGTACTAAAATCGACATTTTCATATTTCGATTTTTATCATTTTTCAGTAAACCACATTTTCCTTCATTCACATGTCAAAAATTTGATGCAAACTGTAACATCTAAGAGAAATGCCAAAAAGAGATTCTTTAGCAGCTTCATTTCATTGAATAACTAAATTTTAATGGCAACTTGATACTATTAGAATGTAATAAATTTCAACCTATTTATATTAGCAAAGTATATCAGATCATTTTTCTTGACTAAGCAAACGTATATCACTATCATGTTCCGATAGCTTAAAATATAATCAGCATTCTTATTCAGATTTGAAATACCTTCAATATAATGTATCTGAATATTTGAGAAGGCCTATGGAAACACTAATTGTAGACTAAGCAATTAATGATTGTTTATAGAAGGTGTAATCTTTAGTAAATTCTCTTTAAAGAGAAATTAATTCAGCAATTAAATATGACGTTTTTGTCGAGCACAAAATCAAATAACAATTCACAAGTATATAATTTTCAGTAGCCAACTCAGCCAGATCACTAGAGTTGCTTCAAAATCGTTACTATAGTATAAACGTGTTTTCCAGATTTTTAACTTCTATTTCATTAAATTAGATGGTGAATAGGTACGGAAATACTATTAGACAGCTATGAGGTGGTTTACGTTACATTTTACAGTCTTATTAACCATTAACAATTTAGATCATTATCTTGTTCGCTTTTGAATATTTCTCTTACAGCCGTATCACTTAAAAATGCCAGAGTTGAAGTAAACTTTGGTGACAAGCCATTTAATTTTCCACCTAAAACTACCCCTTCGACTAATAAACATTGGGTAGCAGTATCATACGCCCCCGATTCTTCAATTGTATGTAATCGGAATGTTGGTTGGCGGGTGAACCCAAATGATGTAACATCAAGTACAAATTTATTAGTTTCACCTAATGGTCGATTTGTACAAGCTGTAGAAAATACCGGATGGCAAGGCTTTAGAGTGAACAAAGTAAACATACTGTTGGTTTAAATTTTTGATTCATTCATAAGTTTAGTTACTATAACCTTACGTTTGTGAGACCATTTTGTTAATTCAGAATCCATTCCGATAGAAGACTAATTATCACTGGTTAAGAATGAAGCTAACTTTCCGTATTTATAACTGTTTGAAAGCAGAACCTCAGCATATTTAAAACGAATCTTCAGCATGAAATCTTTCTTCTAGAGGCGTAACGCAATTAGATAATTGGTAATGCTAAAAGATGCACTATTCAGATTTTTTAGTTTGAATTTACTTCTAGTTCATAACAACTCCACTTAGACATGGAATAGATTGGGTATTATGAAACTGTCTAGATTTCTCTATAGATGTATCTATAATGTCAAGATTATAGCTTTGATTTCTACTCTCCAATGTGTTCTTTTTAAATGACCAAAATGCTTAAGAGTTGAATCGTAGAGAAAAACAAACACGCTGAGTTTTGAACTATTCGTCAAGTGACAGAAACCCAGTTGTTGGATGGCATAAAATTAAGGTCAATATTGTATCCTTCAATTTTATCGGTTAAGTTGTAACCTGAAAAAAACATAAATATTTATTTGGGAGTGGTTATCGCTATGCATAACAAATATATCAAGATTTTAACGTTCATTCTGTTTTTTTCTACAAACTTCAATTATAATTCAAATTAAAAAGATGCATGATTAACAGTACTTGAATATACATTGGCTCCATTTTACTAGTCTAAGGAATAAGTTGGCTTAGCTAATAACAATACGAATTACTGAAGAGGATTTCAAACTTTGTAGTACTATAAAAGAATAGTTATTATGTTTTTTATCTGTATAGATGATAAGAATTCTTAGCGATAAATTACATACATTTCCACAATCTATCTATTGATGTTATCCTAACTCACTGATAGCTTTTTAAACAGTAATAATCAACAAAACACGTTCATAGTTGTAAGAAAACAGAACCTTTTCAAATGTTCGAAAATCCTATCCTAACTAAATTCTAACAAGTTGAAACAAACGCTTGTAGTTCATTAATGATTATTTTGAACTACTAACAATATGCAGTATAAATTCAGTTTTACAAGGAAAAGAAATCATACAAAAGTTCAAAATTTCTCTTACTAACTAAATCATAACTTTATATGTGAAAATTATATTTGAAATAATCTCAGTGATTGAAATTTGTATAATTCCAACGTTTCGTCCAGCTAACTTGTCTGGACTTCTTCAAGGTAATAATCAAAATCATTAAAGACAAGTTGGCTGGACAAAACGTTGGAATTATTCAAATTTCAATCGCTGAGATTATTTCAATTATAATTTTCACATATAATGACTTCTCTTTACACGGCGCCCAATTTCTGTCAAACTATTCGTTCTTATCTTGACGAATATTTGTATAAATCATAATTTACTTACTTTATAACATATTTAAACTCATAAAAGTAGTATGGATGTTAATTAATACAAGGATTGTATTCATATAATTAATAGGGAATATTTGGTGATAGAGCTTATTACTATGAAGTGAGAATTGTTGAAGACTCTGGATTAGCACGTATTGGTTGGTCATTTGAAAATGGATCATTAGATCTTGGTATAGATTGTTTTGGTTTTGGATATGGAGCTGATCGAGATGGTTTTGGTATAAATGGATCACAAGGGAAAAAACTTCATAGTGATATCATTGAAAATTATGGTGAAGTAAGAATTCATTTAATTGATGACTTATAATTAATATTATTTAAATTGATCTTAACATTTATTAAGTAAAAACATGTTAAAGTTATTTGAATATTTTCAAAGTGGTCTTGAGTGCTGTTAGAGGTATGAGGGCAATTATCACTTCCCGGTTGCCCACACCGTGGAAGGGTTCTTCTGGAGGTACCTGAAAAGAAAATTGGATTAGAGGTGCTCTTAATGACCTGAGAGCGTGACCGCAGTGCCCAAGGGACAACTCCTTGAGGCCGGTCACACACAACCTTTTTATGAGTAATTTTGTGTTAGCTCCGTACTTGTTGAGACCTTACCGCCGGAGATGGATATCCGTGGGATAAGGCGAGGTGTGCATTTTTAGGGTTGACCATTTCTAACACCACCCCACCTTGTGGGAAGGCAGCATCGCTGTCATGCTGGTTGTCTGAAGGAAACACCTTACTGCCGTCACACCTCTGTACAGTCAGCAGTACAACTTCGCCTTCGGACCTTGAGTTTATTGCTTTCAGTCTTATCGCTCTTCGACCGACCTGTCTGACATGGTAGGACCTTGAGGAACGGTTGTTCCAGCCAGTATAGCTTGGTTACTTCATCACGATAGGCCAGCCCGACCACCACGTCAAGATAGCAACAACGGTCGGGATATTTTCGAAAGTCACTAGTTTATCGAAAGAAAGAAAAATAAACAACGATTGACAACTAGCAACTAGCTAATTTAATTTCTCTTTGAAGTGTATCGAACAATAATCTATTCACATAGTTGTATAGATTTTTATCATTCACAACTTTCTTTTTTTTAATTCGCTAAAAAATTAGTTTTTGATAGTGTAAAAGAAGACAAAGATTATTAGAATGATGAGATATATTAGCGTAATACATTTCGAATAATCTGATCACACATAATATACTTGTTAAGAACATTTATATATAATAATATAAAAGGTTAACTAGACTAGAAATGAAGGATAAGAGGAGACAAGGATAATAATGAAATAATGTGAAAATAATTTGGAACCTCATCACTCCAGATAATAAGCTAATATTACCAGGATAGATTTTGAATACATCGGGGGGGTTTGAATTTTCGTATGGCTAATGCTTCAATTAATTTTCACTAGTAGCCAATTTTTCTATACTTTAATTTACAGTTTAACTTTTAACTTTTGTTTAATCATACTAGATATTACATTGGCTGTAGAGTTTCTTATTTTTGACATTTGGTTGGAGACTAGTCATTGTGAGTACTTAAAAAAAGAAAACGTCATTTGTGGATTAGTTTAAGTTAGACATTTAAACAGTTGGATGACAGCCGGCTCAGTGGTCTAATGGTTAAGCGCTCGTGCGCGAGACTGATGGGTCCTGGGTTCGAATCTCACGAGGCGGGATCGTGGATGTGCACTATTGAGGAGTCCCACAATAAGATGAGACGGCCATCCAGTGCTTCCAGTTTTTTCCATAATGGTCTGGCTTCAATTAACTCATGTTCTCAACCATCGTAACAAATAATACTTTATATGATTACATTTATAATATTTCATACACATAGTTCCCTTTATTATCTTAAATAGAGCAAGAACAAAGATTGGTGCAGAATAATATGAATTCATTTTATTTCGTTAGGTTCTCATCAGCTGCTTACAACCTAAATTATTTGAAAATTCAACATTATTACAGATATTGACATATTTATATATAAGAGTGTGATTAAGGATCAATACATGTGTATGATGATCTAGCAAGCAAAGATTCAGATAGAGTTAATGAGCTCATAAAATGTTTGATTCGAATAAATAAATAAAGTTTGAGAGGGAAAGTTCTGGAACATTGAATTAGTGATTAGAACTCATGAAAATAGATTAATGGTAATAAAGAAAATATGAATTGAAATCAATCATTTATGTATGATGTAATTTATACTTCAGAAAGAGTTGCAATAATGACGCAATAAATAAATAAATAGGAGCAAATGAATAGAAAGGGTGGCGGTTATTGTTACCAGGGTAAAGAAAGATTTATTACTGTCTCTTTTTGTATACATAGATCTGGTTTTAAACGTTTGATTGCTAACGCTTCAGCGAATTTCAAAAGGTTCGAGTTTGATTGTTTGTTAATCACCTTGAAGGACTTCAGTATATCAGCTTTATGTCCTGTATCAAGGAGATGTCTTGCGATAGCACTGTTGAATGTGTTCAATCCATTTAACCTTAAACTTTTCGGAATATGTTCTTTGAATCGGACGTAGGCTCTCCTTTCTGTTCTACCAATGTTTGAGGGCAGAAACTAATACCTTTGATGAATTAATCAACAATCTAAGTATCGTATGTCGCATAAAATTTATCAACTTTATACAAGATCTGCAAAGTAAAATATGCAAGAATTTCCACGTAACTTTGTCAAAGACTCTGTCAAAGGAACAATTATGTTTTGGCTTTCCGGAAAACCCCGAAAAGTTTCTCTATAATCTATCAACAATGAAGTTAAATCAGATAGAAACAGAAGCCTTGTCACTTGGATTTAAATTTCATATCCCCAAAACACATGCCGACAGAATCGACACAGAAACTCAATTTGAGAATTTATTTGATCAAATTAAAGAGTTGCACCCAGTTAGTGAAGAAAAGAAAGGCTGGTTTAAATCTAAACTAGTCGATATTGCAAACCAATATCTTGTTTCACCCGCACCACAGTCTAAGCTTTTATCCAAAGACCACCAAACAGCATTACGAAATATTAAACGAAATGACGATATAATGATATTACGGTCAGACAAAGGCTCAAGTGTTGTTCTAATGAACAAAACAGATTATGTTTTTAAGATGAAGTCCATCTTGAATGACCATATGAGATTCAAGTTAGAGAAAAGTAACAAAGACTTAACTGATTCCATTGAGAAAAGAATCACCAAAGTACACAGAGATCTTCTGAAAAAGAAGATGATCGATAACTCTACTTACAATAATCTACGACCTCGTGGGTCTCGTTTGCCCCACATGTATGGATTACCGAAAATACATAAACAAGGTTATCCTCTTAGACCTATTTTGTCAATGATCAATTCACCATACCACAAAGTTGCACGATGGTTGGCAGATAAGTTAGAACCAGTGCGTCAACGATTAGCCACCTATACACTAAAGGATTCATTTGTATTTGCTGACAGCATGAATCACATAAATATTGCCGGTAAGTTTATGGTTTCTTTTGATGTAACATCTTTGTTTACAAAAATACCACTTCTTGAGACCATAGACATAATTTGTCAACATTCTGACATCCTACCTCTACCAGTACCAGAATTCAAACGACTATTACTCATTTGTACAAAAGATGTTCAGTTCCAGATCAACGATATCATATACAAACAAACCGATGGTGTAGCGATGGGAAGTCCGTTAGGTCCTGTCCTAGCAGATATTTTCATGGCTAACCTCGAAAGAACCAAACTCAAACGAGCGATTGATGAAATGACGTATTATTCGAGATATGTTGATGATACCTTCATCGTATGTAATAATAAACAACATGCAATAAATCTGCTAGAGTTTTTCAACGAAGCACATCCGAATATCCATTTCACTATGAAACATGAAAAAGAAAACAAGTTCCATTTTCTCGATATCGCGATGAAAAGAAGAAAAGATGGTACAGTTCAACGTTCAGTTTATAAGAAAGACACATGGAATGGTAGTTATCTTAATCTCAATAGCTTTTGTCCAATCAGTTACAAAAAGGCACTGGTCAAAACACTGTTTTACAGAACAGAAAGAATATGTACTTCCGATACACTAGAAGAGGAAGTTATGAATGTTAAAAAATGTTTAAAGAATAACGGATACCCGCTGAAATTTATTGAGAAATACGGCAAATGTGAAGTTAAAAAGCCGAAAGAAATTACAGCAAATAAAAAGCCTATTTTTATTAAACTTCAATTCAAAGGTGACGATGTCACAGGAGCAATCAATATGAGATTAAAAACTGCACTGACAAGAACTTATCCTGCAGCGAAATTGATTGTCCTGTCCAAAACAACATGCTCTTTGACACAATCAAAGGTCGACAGGTATCCCTTTCATGTTACCACCAACTGTGTATACAAATTTACATGTACCTGCCAAAGCAGTTACATTGGTAGAACAGAAAGGAGAGCCTACGTCCGATTCAAAGAACATATTCCGAAAAGTTTAAGGTTAAATGGATTGAACACATTCAACAGTGCTATCGCAAGACATCTCCTTGATACAGGACATAAAGCTGATATACTGAAGTCCTTCAAGGTGATTAACAAACAATCAAACTCGAACCTTTTGAAATTCGCTGAAGCGTTAGCAATCAAACGTTTAAAACCAGATCTATGTATACAAAAAGAGACAGTAATAAATCTTTCTTTACCCTGGTAACAATAACCGCCACCCTTTCTATTCATTTGCTCCTATTTATTTATTTATTGCGTCATTATTGCAACTCTTTCTGAAGTATAAATTACATCATACATAAATGATTGATTTCAATTCATATTTTCTTTATTACCATTAATCTATTTTCATGAGTTCTAATCACTAATTCAATGTTCCAGAACTTTCCCTCTCAAACTTTATTTATTTATTCGAATCAAACATTTTATGAGCTCATTAACTCTATCTGAATCTTTGCTTGCTAGATCATCATACACATGTATTGATCCTTAATCACACTCTTATATATAAATATGTCAATATCTGTAATAATGTTGAATTTTCAAATAATTTAGGTTGTAAGCAGCTGATGAGAACCTAACGAAATAAAATGAATTCATATTATTCTGCACCAATCTTTGTTCTTGCTCTATTTATAATATTATTGAACAAATAAATTACTTTGACCAATATTACTTGATCTTAAACAATACTGTAGATGTAATTCATCATAGGTTTAATATCTCATTACATTTGACTCTCTATTTAAAGAAATAATAAATAAGGAAATTTCCTAAACTTGTCAATGCTTTTTTG